TGCTCATCCTCCCCCTCCTCCTCCTCCTCCTCCTCCTCCTCCTCCTCCTCCTCCTCCTCCTCCTCCTCTTCCTCCTCCTCCTCATCCTCCTCCTCATCCTCCTCCTCCTCCAACTCCTCCTCTTCATTCGCATCGCCCCCCGTACTCCCCTCCTCTTCCTCCTCCTCCTCCCTCCTCCTCCTCCTCCTCCGCCTCCTTGTCCTGTTCCTCATCCGCCTCTTCGTGTTCCTCCTGCGAATCCTCCTTATCCGCATCCTCCTCCTCCGCCTTCCTCTCCTCTCCTCCTCCGCTCCTCTCCTCCTCCCTCCTCGTCCTCCTCTGCCTCCTCCTCCTCCTCCTCCTCCTCATCCTCATCCTCATCCTCATCCTCATCCATCATTCATCATCATCATCCATCATCATCATCATCATCATCATCATCATCATCATCATCATCATCATCATCATCATCATCATCATCATCATCATCATCATCATCATCATCATCATCATCATCATCATCATCATCATCATCATCATCATCATCATCATCATCATCATCATCATCATCATCATCAGCATCATCATCATCATCATCATCATCATCATCATCATCATCATCATCATCATCATCATCATCCGCAGCAGCAGCATCAGCAGCATCATCAGCATCAGCATCAGCATCATCAGCATCAGCATCAGCATCAACATCATCAGCATCATCAGCATCATCATCGTCATCGTCATCATCATCATCATCATCATCATCATCATCATCATCATCATCATCCGCAGCAGCAGCAGCATTATCATCATCATCCGCAGCAGCATCATCGTCAGCAGCATCGTCATCATCATCAGCATCATCGTCATCAGCATCATCATCATAATCATCAGCATCATCATCACCAGCATCAGCATCAGCATCAGCATCATCATCAGCATCAACATCATCAGCACCGTCATCATCAGCAGCAGCATCATCATCAGCATCCTCATCATCATCCGTAGCCATGTTGCCTCAACTCCTTAGCGTCTCGCTCAGGACACTGGCAATCTGGCGTGGGGGAGGCGCGCCCCCGCCCGCGATCCTGCGGCCAGTCTGTTCTGGCGTCAGCACGTTTTGTGAGCTCATGCTGGAGCAGCTCACCCGTGGAGCACTTACATTCCCAAGACGTCCAGGAGTTGCCTCCTGGTTCTCGCCCCATGGCTCCTGCTCCTGCTGCGGCCAAGCCTCCGTGGTGGAGGACTGTGCCCCCATCGTGGGGGGGGCACCGGAGAGAGTGGCGTGACACGGGCCCAGGATATTTCGACGGATGGCATGAAGTGGGTGGAGCGCCAGCATAATATGCGAGCTGTGGCTGCAAGAAGAACACACGGGGCAATATAGTATGTCAGGCGTGTGGGCACAAACTTGCTGATGTGGTTCCCGCCACTGCAGCCGAGCCTGGAGGTGCCAATGGCGCGGGCAAGCAGGCTACAGCGGACGACGGCAAGGGCGGCAAGAAAGGGAAGAAGGGCAAGGGAAACAGCAAAGGCAAGGGTGAAGAGTCGGCCAACGGAGTTTCTCTTCCACTGGCGCCTGGAGCTCAGTTTGTATTGGCCAAGGGTGTCCCTGCAGGTGACCTGGAGATCGCAGAGTTAGAGCAGCTGGTGGCCATGCTGGAAAAAGCTGGCAACAAGGCCAGCGCAGGGAAGCACAAGCGGGTCGTTCAAGAGAAGCAGCGCAAGGCGGCGGAGACTTCGCATGTGGCGCCCGTGTCCCAGCGGATCACGTTGGCCCACAAGCAGGTGCAAAAACTCAACCAGAAGCTCGAGAAAGCGGCTGGTCACTTCGAGCGGCTGGAGGTAGGCTTGGAGCAGCAGCGGCAGTGGGTTCAGCAACTGCCTCGAGACCTTGAAGAGCGTGAGAGAGAACATCGAAAGTTGGTAGTGGAGCTCAGCGCGCAATTGGTGGATGTTAGTCAAGACTCCTAGCAGAAGGTGGCCGCTCTCAGCGTGGTGGGGATCTTGGACGGCTCTATTGCAGAGATCTCTATATCGTTCGCTGGGCTCGGCGTTGACGACGCAGAGTATGAAATGCATGAGAATGATCGTACTACCAGGCTCCAGAGTGAGCTGGCAGCGGCAGTCAAGACCATGTTCGGACAGGCGGCAGAGAAGGCGAAAGCTTTCAAGACCGAGCAGGAGCAGATGGCGCAGAGGCTTGCTGGAAAGAGGCGGAGGCAGGGTGCCGAAGCCGACCTCAGCCCCACGGAGGGCTCAGCAGCAGCTGCCGAGGCCCCTACCTCCGCAGCGGCTCCGCCTTCGCAAGCGCCCCAGGAAGCCGCGGGGCTCAACGCCAAGCAGCGAGCGGCCAAGATCTGTCACCCACAGCCCCCCCAGGCGCCCAGTGGGGCCTGAGGGGGCGCCCGACTGGCGCCAGAGGCTGCAGTTGATCGCGCGACGCATGCAGCCACTCCAGCTGGATCTGAGGGACCAGCTGTTCGTTTCTTCGGCTATACGCAAGAGTGATCCTGGGTAAGAGTGACCTTTGGTGCGCGGCATTCGGGGGGGCGCGGGGGAGCCAAACCCAAGCGCGCAAGCCGCTTATAGCGCAGCGCGTTCGGCGATTGGGGGACCCATTTGGGCCCGCACCAAAGGTCACTCCAGCGAAAGGTCACTCTTACGTCTAGCCGATTTCTGGCAGAAACAACACGGAGGACCCCGAGTGGCTCAACTTAGGCTTCCCGGTTCCAGCGCTGCAGCCTCCGGATCTTTCGGCAGAGGGCGGCGCGCCTCAGCGAGTACCCCGACCTGGTGCGGCTCGACGGGACGCGGATGACCAACTTCGAGGCTCATCTCCTCAGTCCTCGGCCGCAGCAGGCCCTGGCTCGGGGGCTGCCGCCCCCTAAGCCTGGTGCTGACGACGGGGAGGGGCCCGCGGCGGCCTTGGTCGACGGGGTGACGGCAGCGGCGACCAGGTGGATCCCAAGCTTAGATTCGGCCGAGGCTGGAGGTCGTACCTGGGTTGCCTGGTGCAGGCCATACGTGAAGTCTCTGCTGCAACTACCTCAGCATCGGCACTGGGTGGAAGCAGCTCGCCAGGGTCGTACGTTGGATGAGATGGCGGCCGATATTTGCGATGATGCCTGGGATATGGGGGGCTGATGGACGTATCAACATCCTAGGCTTCCACGACTGGGCGGCCTCTGGAGCTGGGCGATTCGTCGGCACTGTGAGGAGTTGCGAAGGATCCAGGATGAGATGCGAGATCGTCTTGGAGGCAGCACCCAGCTGGCCGCAGAGGTCGAGCTCTACTACGACGACGAGAGTGTGTCGGCGTTGAGCCCGACGGCAGTGGCTGCTTTCGCTCCGACACTCACTGTCCCCACCCGCTCGGCGGCTAGCCTTACATAGTGTTCTGGTTCCCGATTGGGTTCCTGCACCTTGCGGGTGGGCCTCCTGAGTGCAAGCACTTTTCGGGGAATATATGCGCCACCGTGCCCTGAGGCGCAAGTTGAAGTGTCCTCAGGTCCCTTGGAGCTCTTGTCCCCAGGCCTGAGTGAATTCGTATGAAGGGCCCGGACCCCAAAGTTCCAATTTGTCTGGGGCTTCCTGCGTATTCCAGCGTGCTCCCGCGTGGCATTTCAAGCCACGAGGGCCACAGCACAGATCGATAAGACCCCAAGAGGCTCCCAACACAGTCCAACAGGACCCAGAGTCGCCGAAAGATCGCTCCAAGACGCCCAAGATGGCCTACAGACACCCCTAGACGCCCACAAGACACTCCAAGAGGGCTCCAAGAGCACTTCCAAGAGAACCCCGAGTGGCAAAATCCATTGGATCTCCTCCGGCAGATGAAGGATTTTAGCATTCTCACCTTTTCGGGCTGCCAGCGCTTTAACACAGCCCAAGAGGCCCTCAACATCGCCTCAAGACGGCCCGAGGAGCTCCCAAGAAGGCTCCAAAACAGCCCACGAGGGCCCCAAGACTGTCCAAGACGGCACAAGAGGCACACAGGACGGCTCCTAGAGGGACCCCACAGAGGGAACCAGAACTGACATGTCGAGAATTCCGCCCTAAGATGGCCCCAAGAGCCCCCCTGAGTCCACCAAGAGGCCCCCCCGAGAGGCCCCCAAGAGGCCTCAAAACCTCCTAGAAGCTCCCGAGAGGCATCCCAAGAGATCCCCACAGGCATCCACTAGGCCTCTGACCTACAACATCGGCACGATGGAGGAACGGGCCGAAAGCCACTAGATCTTAATCTCCCTTGTTATCTCGCTCCCGTTATCCTTATGCTAATACACATGCGCAACATAACCATACCAAAAAAAGACTTCGGCGTACATCCTACACGCAATATCCAGCCCCCCTTCCTCATCCTCCTCTTCCATTATGCTACCCCGTCGCTTCCCTCATCCCTCCACACGTCCTGCATAATCCTCTTCCATCCGCATCCCTCCTACGCTTCCTCGTCATCAGCATCGGCATAATCACCAACAACATTGGCATCAATCGCACAGCCACCACCACCATCACCTCTGCCACCCGCCATCCCCCATCATCATATCACATCAGCATCAGCATCAGCATCAGCACCAACTCAGCATCAGCATCATCAACGACATCGTCATAAGCAGCAACACCAGCATCCTCCTCATCATCAGCACCAGCATCATCGGTAACTCCACCATCACCATAATCATCAATGCCCTTACAGGCATCACCATCACCACCATCACCACCACAATCACCAACACATCCATCACCATTACCATCACCATTCGCATATGTACGACCTCCCCCATCCGCCACATCCAATACCATCACCACCATCACCATCAACATCACCATCATCATCACCATCAACAGCACCATCACCACCATCACCACCATCACCATAGGCCTGATCATCATCGTCATCGTCATCATCATCAACGTCATCGTCATCATGATCATCCTCATCAGCATCATCATCAGCATAATCAGCATCATCGTCACCATCATCATCACCATCATTCCCATCATCAACATCATCA